AAAATAGTGAAAATTAACCGAACCACACCGATACCAAAGAGAAACCAACATGATCAGGACGGTTTTGGATATTCTAATTTTGGTTATCCATAATAGAATAACCGAAAAATTGGTATTATACAAATTTTATAAAATAACCGGCCAAATTGAGCCATTAACACCCCTAATTCAGGCAATCAACTTTAATTGGGATCGATTGTATGATCATTTGTATCTATTCACTCCACTCAAATCCATTTTATTCTAATACTAAACAATTTGTCTTTCAAGGCAAATAGGTTTTTCTAAAATTAGAGGATCTCTAGACTAACACTTCTCCCTATGTGGACATACAAGTCACTAGTCAATTAAAAAGCTCCTAACAAATGTTGGACCCAATAGAAGTATAATAATAGCAACTAAACCTCAATTCCAACTGGAAGGCATGGCAACCCTAATCTGCATTGGTTTTGACAGATTGTAGGTCTCATAAACCTGACTCTTCATCTCGCTCTATCAACTTTAATCATTATATTGTCGCACCTATATACCAGCATATCCGGAGATCTATGGATGACATGGTCAAACCATCTCTGGTGATTTTCTCATTCGTCCTCTATGTGTGCTACTTACCGCTCTGCCAAATATGGTTATTTCTATTCTAGCCCAATATAAAATATAAGTGTACATCCATCTTAACATTCATCTTGTAAGTATGTTGGGTCTACTAAGGCCCAATATTCAAGTTATCATGAATACAATAGATAGAGAGGAGAAGTGGAAGAGTAAGAACGAAATGATCATCATCTACTGCTCTTCCTAGTAATGCAAGGGCAGGTAGTATGTCACTATCTTGGTGCAGATCAATAAAATAAAAAATAAAGAATGCAATGACCATCACCAATTCTAGAGGAGATACTACTACAGGATTCCATATCTCTCCCCCAAAGCTCAGATGAAAACATGCCTTCTTCTTACCACTCTACACCAAAGAGTATTATCTCCCGTGCAACACACCTTAAACATAAAATTCTTTAGTGACCGTGCACCCTTTTACATTAATCTCCAAACATACACCACCATAGGCTTTTTCTTAAAAATCAAACTAGCAACAATCATAAGCCAATTATCACAACTGGCCACATGCACCCATTGACTGGAAACTACAGGATATACAGTGACTAAAGTGGTTGTGACTAGACCAATGACGGTTTAGTGATACCAACTGCCCCTCCTTTCGCTCCACTCAAATACAATGTAGGAGCAAATAGAAGAACAAAGTGTGGACTGCACAAAACCTCTAGTTGCAAACTTTAAACATCAAAACCTACAAGAAAGAAACTACTTAAGCAATCAATTTATTTAAGAGGAAGGGAAAAAAGAACTAATCAAGCACTGCAAAATCTTGAATTCAATCTCATACGCTTAACTCTATCTTGAGCAACTGAAACCGAAACAACAAAAAGGGAATCGATTCATGAAAGAGGGATTAACTAAAACAAAGCAGAAATCTTTTCTAAATGTCTAATGAACATTGCTATTACCGGAGACGGCGATGACGCTACCGGCGAACGGAATAGGGATGCGTTAGGATTTCCGATCGTATTTCCCAGTCGGCAAGTGCGGTGAGTATCCGGTTGGTTTGTACGTTCCGTGAGAGGAAGAAGAAACCACTACTCCCTCCGTCTCATTTAAACAGATGATTTATAACGACACAAATCTTTATTTTAGTTAAAAAAAATTCTTAAAATTTCGTCTTAGTTAAATAATATTAATTAAATTAAATATAAATTAAAAGAAGAGAGTAGTTTTTTGCTATACATGTGTGCTTTTGTCCTAACCTAATACCAACAATAGTTTAATATTCAACCGTGTTCTCTTTACCTATATTGGTATGAAGGATACCCTTCAAAAAAATAAGAGCACTTTATTCATCAAAATATTTCACTAAAACACTTCATTTAAAAATAAAATTAATCACTTATGTTTATAAATAGTATTGTATTCAAAGTTCATGACTATCTTTTAAAGAGATTTTAGTATTGTGTTCAAAGTTCATGTTTATCTTTTAAAGAGGTTTTAGGGTTTGTTATTTTGTGGCTAAATTACTTTTTCCCTATAAATAGAGGGATTTTATGCCATTGTAATTCATCTCAAAATTAATAGAATTTTATCTCTCTTTTTTTGCAGTATTCTTAGTTTCTTTTATTATTTTATTTTCTACCGTCCCAAGAAGCTCTCCGAGAAACTAAGGTATAATTTTTCTCCTCTATTAACAATGACTGATATTGTGAAACGAAAGTTCGTCGCCTTCGAATTTTCGGGCAAGAACTATATGTAATGGGCGTTGGATGCTGAAATCTATTTAGATGCAATGGGTCTTGAAGACGCCATTAAAGATACAAATAAAATAAGATTGTGCTAAGGTCTTGATTTTCTTGCACCATCACCTTGATGAAGGATTGAAAATAGAATATCTCGCAGTCAAGGATCCGTTTTGTTTTGTGGAATGGCTCAAAGGAAAGATATAACAATCCTTCATCTTTCCTTTAAGCCATTTTGCAAAATTAAACAAGTGGATCTTTGATTGTGAGATATTCTATTTTCAATCATTCATCAAGGTAATGGCGCAAGAAAATCAAGGCCTAATTAGCACAATCTGGGGTATATGCTTTATTTTATCTTTAATAGCGTCTCCAAGACCCATTGCATCTAAATAGATTTTAGGATCCAACACCCATGATATATAGTTCTTGCCCAAAATTTTAAGGGCAATGAACTTTCGTTTCATAATATCAGTCCTAATTAAAAGAGGAGAAAAATTATATCTTAGTCTTCTCAAAGAGCTTTTTGAGACGCTAATAACGTGAAATAAAATAATTATTGAAACGCTTATAAAAAAAGTATAACGTGTATTAACTCCAATTTGTGGTAATTTATTTTTTATTCAATATAAAAATATTAGCAGCCGGAGCCATAGACTAATTAAGTATAACTATAAATTATTTTATGATGTCTAAAAATAATGTAGTCAATATAATTTGTATTATTTTTGTCGGTTGTGAATAATTTGGTAATGCCTCTATAAATTCTGTTTATCTTTATACTTTTTTTTACCAAATAAGTAAAAATTAATTTTATAGGTCTATAATAATCATTGAACTTCTATTTTGTATTGATGGTAGTTTTATTTTGTATTTGTTTTGCAGAAGTGTTTCAATCATTCTCAAAAATAAAATAAATAGGAAAAAAAGGAAGTTTATGGCAAAGAGGCCTTTTATGTCCCTAGCTTAAAAGTTCTTCATTACTTAAAAGTTTAATTTAGAACACCGATCCCTCGGGTTGTAGTCTTTACGGAAATTCAATCTTATACAAAATTTAGATCTTGATGTATGCCTATCTTTTACTTGGATTAAAAAAATATATTCTTCAAGATCCTCATAAAGCGGTATTCAAATTCAATACATGCTTCAATACTGGACCAGTCCTTGAATAGTTCTTTTTTTTTTTTTTTGAAAAGACAAGGAGTATTAAGAAGGCCATCATTAAGGAAAACAAAGCAATAGCTCGGTTAAAGGGCCGAGCCTCCCTACCGATGTATCGATCCCGCACATTTAGACCAATCCTAGCGGACATGACAAAACTTCCCTTGGAGAAAGCCAGCCTGAGGGAACTGGCTTGGTCATTTCACCATCACTCGATTATAAAGGGTTGGAGCCCTCTCTTTGAAAGCCCTCTTGATGCGATGATAAAATGGCTAGTATTCAAGGCTAGTCCCAGGAAATCAAGCTAAATGGCTATCCCGATAAGAAGATGAAGCCTGATCGGGCCAAAAATGAAACGGAAATTCAATCTTATACAAAATTTAAATAAGGAATTTTTGTATACAATTAAAATCTTATTGGATTTAAAATTCTAAATAAAAGGAGTTCCTGCAAATTCAAAGTTTTAAATATTAGAAAAATAATTAAATGACTATTTTGTCTAGTGTGAAATATATTTTTAAAGGGTGAAAAAAGCAAATAACATTTCTCTTAGGAGCTTCGTGCTTTTAATATAATATATAGAAGTATGTATAGATAGAGATATACAAATAGATATATATACACACACACACACATTATTTTATAGCATTGAAAATTCGATGTGCTTATGAGTAGTGTTTTAAAAGGCGGAGGCGTGAGACGGAGCGTTTTGCTTAACATGTGGCGGTGGGTAAATTCCGAGACGGGGCGTAAGTCCCACAAATATTTAAATTATTAATATATGAATTAATAAAATAGCAAAATAATCACAAAAAATATATAAAAGTATATTAAAAGTTCAAGAAATTAAAAAAATCACAAAAATAAAAATACCTAGTATTTAAATATAAATAATGCAATAGTGTTAAAGTTACTATAAGATAAAAATCAACTAGAACGTCTTGACTTTCAAACGATTAAAAGATAAAAATATTTTAAAAAATATTATCAAATTATATGATTTACCTCTCTAAAAGTTAATAATCAATAAATTCCATCAATAATATAATTGAAGATATTACTTCTTACGAGTAAATATAAAATTGCTTTCAGGTAGCAAAATAATAAAAGTTTAATAATTTTGAGAGATATAGAACTAAAATATGAATACATATAATAAGTGAAAATGTAAATTTTGGCTATTCAAATGATATTCACTCTCAAATGTTCTCAATTAGTAAATATGTAATACTATGACTCATTATTCATATGATAAAGAAATTTGAGTATTAACAATGCTAGTTAGGGAATTTGATGCATGATTTGCAGTAGGAACTATTAGGCGAGCCCTGAACAAATAGCCCTACACATAAGCCTCGGGACGTTTTCATAGTGTCTCGCCCCGGAATAAGTCCCCAAAAAACTTTTAAAATACTGCTTAGATACAATTTATTAATCTAGTTACATCATTACTATAAAAAAAAAAAAATTACGGAAGAAGTAAAATAACAACACTAGGCGACGATAAAATTGATTCACAAAATAACTAACTCCATTTAAAAGCGTGGCAAAATGCAGTGTGGATTGGACAGAATTTTGATCGTCTTTCCACAGCCTCACCCTTACTCATACAGCTGCTGCTCAAAAAGTGTTCATTACCCCCCTTTCTTTGTTCGGAGTTCGAAGCTTGGATCTTTATCTTTTTACCGATTAGGAAAACCCAGAAAAGGCAACCCTTTTTCTTCCCCCATGAGAATTCTTCAGGCTTCCACCTCCTACAGTGTTGGCTTTGGCATTCTATCCATATCTACCCGCCCCAAATCTTTCACTCAGCGCCATTCCACCATAGCCGCAGGTACTAAAAAGTCTCAACTTTGAACTTGATATATTGCATAAAGTTGTTCCATTTTCATTCTATCTTTTTGCATCTTTATTTTCACTGAGTCCGTTAAGCAATTTATAGGCAGAGCTCACTCAACCTCCTTTTGTAAGTTCTAACTAGAGGTAAATCTCTATGATAAGTCGGGAACTAACTTGCTATAATAGCTTAAATTATACAGTAGTAATTTTTACACTATCAATGTGTTTAACGTAAATTCAACTAACTGATAGTGTTTTTGCCTGATTTTCTTACCATATTTGAGTTTTACTTTTTTCTCAAAGAAAAGTCAAAGTATTACCATAACTGCTTTTACTTTTCCCGAAAGGAAAATATAATTCTATGGACATCTATAAATTGAAGACGTCCTTCTCATAACTAGAACATATAATTGCTTCCACAATGTAACTTTTAAGAAAGTTTTGTTTAGGGGGAGAATTTTTTCTCTCGATAGATTTTTATTTATTTTATATTAGTAGATTGATGTAGGTCACTTGACCAAATCATAGTAAAATTTATGCAATTTTTAGTACAATTCTTATTGTTATCTGATTTATCGTGGCCAAGGTTTGCTTTGCAAGCTTCCGCATGACGCCTTGTTATTTTCGATCCCAACACTAACATACCTATCGAATTATGTACCATCTTATTTGAAAACTTAATTTGTTAGAGAGGAAACAATTTTTGTTTGTTTATTTAGGTTCGGAAGGCCGACTGATTGAAATATGATCTGCTGATGGGTAGCAATGAGACTTGAATGCTAGGACATTTGTGATTTGATTATGAATTGTATGCACCCCCTTATTTAAAAGCTTAACCTATTGGAAAGGTGACATTTTTGTTTATGCATATATGTCATCAACATAGAAAGCTCCGTTCTCCTATGAGAAAAATTCTCATTTCTCTTTTTGGGGCTTCAACTCTCACATTAAGTTCTTGCTTCAACAATTCAAAAGTTAAAAAAGTTGGGTGGGAGTGGTTGGAAGTAAGAACTCAGAAGAAGGCAGGGCAGCGAGGTGTTTCCCTCACCAACTAGTCGGTTGGATGATTTGGTAAGAAGGTGATAGAAATGTCAACAGAGACAATACTTTCCCAAATTCGTAACATTTTGCAGTGGTTCGCTTATTCTTGGAATAATGGATATCCCAAGTTGTACAGATGTTTGGATGATTTTTTGTGAGACCATTCTGATGTAGAGCATAAAGTTATATACTCATCGTATACAGGGCTCCCCTCCTTTCTTAACGACGTTTTATCTGCTCATAAGAAAAAACCCTCCAAATGTAGTTTAATATCAGCTTTGTTTGTGTTTTGGCTGTGAGCTCATAAGCTTCTTAAAGCTTAGAAGCAGAAGAAATTAGTTACATGACAATCGCATCTCACAAAACTCTTTTATGGACTGGAGTTCTATCTGACTGACGAAGAAATTGTGCTTCATGTCATAAGTGCAACAACACTAATACCGTTATGCTTATTGCAATACCTATAAAGACCCAAAACTGACTCCTAGGATGTCAACTCAAGTTAGTTTTATTGCTTAGATGCAGAAAAAATACACGACAATTTTGAAATACTCAAAGTTGCTGAGTTTTAAGGCCAGTTGCAAAGTTCTACTAATATTTATTATCTGTAAACAAATAAGGAGCTTATATATTTTGCTTCTGACCTTGAAATTCAATTGACTGCACGAGAGATTCTGAATAACAAGCACTATGCTAATATTTGGCGTCTGAATTTTAGAGTTCTTTGGAGATGCAATATAGTTACTAAAGAACAGGTTTTCAAGCGCCCATTACCAGAAAGCTTCCATTTGGCATTTCTTCCTTCCTTACTCATCTGTTGCCTGGGCATCTGCTTAGACTGAGGTGTTTCCCAAAACCCTCAAGGTCCAAGCTTTACATCTCCCATGCACTAATGTAAGTGATAAGGCGGTGTTTGCCTAACAGAATTGGCTTCTGTTATGAATCTTCAATTAATGGTTTGCTAGCCCCAAGTCCATGATTTCTTGTTGTCCAGTATTACTTGCAACTTTTTCTTTTGGTTCTTGGATGTGCGATTTCATATCGATAGATGTTGTTAATACTTCTCTCTTTTTGCTACAATTCTAGGACAAGCATTGGACAAACCTGTTCAGATAGCAAGAAAGTTCTCAGAGCAGCATACTTTGAAGAAGGGAGATATGGTGAAAGAAGGAACTTCAGTTGTTCTAGAGGTTTTCCCATGTCCATTTTATTTTTTAAATCTCGGGCTATTAATTTTTACAATATTATGATTAGAAGTGATACTAAATTACAGTTTGTAGCCCCTCAATTTAAAGTAATCAATTGTTTTTGACTTTTCAAAGTCATCATATAGCAAGGGTAAAAACCATTTCAACATATTGTATACAATTTAAGTATAAAAGTTTGCAAGTATTTGAAGCGTATTGTCAAAGATCTGCAATGGCCGAGTTTTTATACCCTGCCTTGGTACATAAATGATCCCATTTTACACAAATCATGGCGCTATGTGTTTCATTGTCTGTCACTATATGTTTTCTGCTAGACCATTGGTTATTTTCTGAAAGCCGTTATTATTGCACAGTTTCTCACTAGAATTTTCCGATATATAATCAGAAAAAAGATTTTGCAGTTCCAAGGAGAAAGGCGATGGCCCTGATATTCTCAAGTTTAGTGCTCTCAAATTATGAATTGCCCAAAGTTGCATATGCTCAATCTACTGAGTTCAGGGAATATATTGACACCTTTGACGGCTATTCCTTTATGTATCCTCGAAACTGGATTCAAGTGCGTGGTGCTGGTGCTGACATATTTTTCAGGGATCCTCTTGTTTTAGATGAAAATCTCTCAATGAACATATCATCTCCTTCATCGTCTGCGTACAAAAGTGTAGAAGATTTGGGTCCACCAGAAAAAGCTGGAAAGGGAGTCCTTAGACAATATTTGACTGAATTTATGTCCACCAGACTTGGTGTCAGACGTGAATCAAGTGTTCTTTCTACTTCGTCCAGGGTAGCTGATGATGGGAAGCTGTATTATGAAGTTGAGGTAAAATATTACTCCGCATTTTGCTAGTTATGAATGGTTTTCGGGTCCTTTCGCTTTCTGATGATAAAGGCGTCTAGATATACGTGACTTAGTTTTCATGTTGTTCGTACATAAGTTGTATCATGCCTATTGAGGGGAGAATAGGTCCCAGTTTTTTCTTCTCCTCCCGGTTTTAACCATTTGGTATCCAAAGCCCATTGGCCCGACTAATTCTAATTCATGCTAGGTAGGCCCGCTAAGGAGGGTATACTGCTCCATACTTGAAAGTTTTATGTTCCTAGGGTATGGTTTGGATCCTAACCAGTGGCGAAACCAGTAATTTACTCAAGGGTGTTCAAACTTGAAAGAAATGAAAAAAATTCTCCAAGAAAGAGTGCTCAATATATGTTATATACCTCTAAAATCTAATATTTTACCTATATATGCAGTGTAATTTTACGATGAAGGGTGGTCAGTTGACCATCCTTTATAACATGTAGCTTCGCCCATGATCCTAGCCATACCACCAAACCTTGGTGATTAATAGCTTCCTGTTATAGCTTCATTCTTCTTAGTTGATATGTTTTACATTTTTTTCCCAGTGTATTTCTGGATTCTAATACCAGATTCTGTCATGCTGTGATGAGTAGGTGAATATCAAGTCATATGCTAACAATAATGAGTTGGCTGTAATGCCACAAGATCGAGTTGCTCGTCTGGAATGGGATAGGCGATACCTTTCAGTTCTTGGAGTGGAAAACAACCGTTTATATGAGTTGAGAATACAAACACCTGAAAAAACCTTTGCAGATGAGGAAAGTGACATTCGTGCAATTATGGATTCCTTCCGAGTAAACAAGATTGAAGTTTGATAGACCTTTTATTCAAAAAGAAACGTTTCGACAGCCAATTATTCAAGATTCGATTTGATCACATGAGAACATTGACGCCTGTTTAGTCATTGGTTTTATTTCAGTTTCTTATTCATGGCTTTTATCTGGTTTGCTGTCTGTTGCTTCTGGTCTTTATTTTATGTCCTAACGTTACTTTTCCCTTGTCTGGGAAATCAAAGCAAAAAATATATTTTGATCCATAAATTTCATACATAAAACAGTGGATGAATATTCGCTCCAAGTGCATCAACAGAAAGGAAATAATGCCTACAATTCCACAATCCACTGCTGGGGATTCAGTTAAAGTTTGTGCCGACAGTAAAAAGACTACATAAAAGTATTACCTGAGTTAAAAGTAAAATACTTTTAATCCATTCTGCTTGAATTGTTAGAAAGAAAAGGAGAGGAAAACAGGGTGAGCAGTGATAATCTTTTGATTTTGGATTGGAGAAAAAGATGGCTGTCATTTGATAATAGGGAGTATCTGAACGGAGAATCTGTCTTCTGTTGTATTTTGGTATTTCAAAAGTTTTATCAGAAGGGGTCTCTTTTCCTTGCAGAAATACTCATTAATGGAGTATTTGTCTTGTGATCAAAGTCGTACAGTTGAAAACTAGAAAATACTATCTATGTCACCATTTTATGGTGGCTACTTTTTAAGGACAGCTCAGCACTATAGAAGCTAATCAGATTATTCATACGAAATTTTGATACAAGATAACACAAAAAGCTTTATAAAAATGAGCCTGTCCAGCATCTATTCTTTCAATTTCTTTCAAGATTGGAGGAATACTGTGACATAGAGCACGTCACGTTGCTAGAGAATAGAACGCGACAAGGTGATGAATAGACAGATTCTAAAATGATATAAGCAGCTTCAGCAATTTCCCATGGCAAAATAGGCAATTGATATCATCATCTCACGGATAAAGATAGACCGAATTAGTTTTCCCACACATATACAGAAGGAAAAAAAGAAGCTGGTGATGCCTAGAGTTCCTTAAATTCTGGGGCTATCAGTGACAACATTATGGAGCAATCTAGATACTGTTATGCACCACTTATTGATGTTGGTTAACTGGTGATGCAAACAGTGAAAATCTTGTTAACTTTATTCAAGTACTAACACTTTGCACAAAAAAAATGACAGTCAAATATTCATGATCAGAGTAACTTTGCTTTCTAAACAGATGAATTGAGTTGCTATATTAATAATACTACTATTATTTACAAGTAAAAACTGAACATAATTCCACTACACAAAGGAGGAGCTGGTTCACTGTTCAAAGACTGAAAGACCAATTAGTTGCTTGGAGATTCATAGAGCAAGTGATAGTGGATAACCATCAAAAAGTAAAAGTATATGCACCACTTATTGATGTTGGCTAACTGGACAAGTTGATGTACTCTCCAATGATAGACATCCCCCCCCCCCCCAAATGTCTTGGACTCCTATGAGCTTTTGCCAAACAGTTCTTGTCTGTAATGAAGGGAAGCAAATCTACAATTTTTAGTGTTTTCCCAAGTAATAAAAAATACTTACTCTGGTGACAAATCCACGTCAAGAGAGCTAAAGAGGGTATAGTGAAAAGCATCATCCAAGTTGGTGTTGAGAGAACTATGATTTTCCTCATCTACTACTTCTGAGTGGTCCCCTTCATCATCTCTTCTCCCAAAAGACTTCAACTTTTTTCTACAACATAATTTGAGTTGGTCTTCCAAGATACTCCTTTCTGATTCATGCTTAAGTACAAGCCATTGTAATGATTGGATTACTTCTTGGTCATGTAATTGCTTCTCCTCAGCCAACCTTTTATATTGATTTGCTTCCATTTCAACCAAACTCTTTTCATTCTGTAGCCGCAAAATCATTGCCATTGTTTCCTCAGCTGCTGTTGCTGCTGCCATTCTCTCCTTCTCAAGTTCCAAAGAAGCAGCATTTGCTCTCTGCCTCTCAATCTTAACCATTTTTCTCAGTGACAAAACATCAAACAATTTATCTTCATCACAACACTCTTGTTCATCATCATTCAATTCATCGTCTGAAACACACTTCACTTTTTCCTCTTCTAATAACCCATTCTTGCAAAATTTCATCTTTGCACTGCATTTCTCATCAAAATCATTTTTTGAGCAATACCCATTTCTCAATTCACCTGATTTTCCACAAAAATCACAAAGAAAACGGTTCCAACCTTTGCAATACCAACTAAACTGCAAGACCCTTAACCCCAAACCGAACAACAAGAACAAGCCCAAAACCTTATACACTTGCCCAAACCACCCAAATACCAGAAACCCAAACCCAAAATCAGCATTCAGACACAAATGCTTCAGCCCTTCAACACAGTCCATTAAAAATAAATCCAGAAAATAACCCAGAAATCTTTTATTAAAGTCAAAGACTGCGCACAAAATGAACAAAAAACATACAAGACGCATAATCTGCATGTGGGTCTCAAAGTTTTAAATGCCACTGTTTGTATATACCAATAACCCAATCCAAAATTAAAAAAAAAAATGCAAGCGCAAAGAACTATGAATAACACTTCTTTTTTGGCTTCGAGATATGGGTTTTTGTTGCTGAATAGTATAGACTAGACTATAGAATAGAATGAGTGAAAAAAGACGAGTGTAAATTTGGGTATGGAAAGGAGGAGGAGAAGATGAGTAGATAGGAGAATGACTATTGGGAAGTGAGAAATAAAGGTGAAGAGATCGAGGGACAAGGCAGCCATCACTCAGTTTTATAAGTCAGCAACGGACTGAAAGATTGCTGAATAATGCCGCATGATACGGCCACGATGCTACGTTTCGTTGTACTTTTTCGTAATTTACTATAGCGTACCATGTCTCTGCAGTGTTCTATGCGGGGGCAATTAGAAGGTTACTATAATCCTATGTTGTTAGAATTATTTCTAGATTACCAAAATATCCATTTTAATCCGTTGTATTAGTTTTTTTCCTAATCTTTTAGATATGAATTTCATTTCATTTATTTTTTAGATATTCATTGTATTAGTTCTTCATTTCGGGATTTTTTTTTGGATAAAGCACATTCTTCTGTGTTCTGATTTCTGGGTTCGTTGTTGTCGTCGTTGTTGTATAAAACACTATGGAGCTATTAAAACATAATAATCATGCTGTTATTTATTAAATATGATGTTAAGTCACAGATAAATATTACTCCTATGATATATCATATAAAATGTTTGAGGGACGTTTATGTTATTACAAGAAGATATCAAAATAAATAAATTTAAAAGAGGAAATTTGACATTCCTCTTCCCCATGAGTTCTCCCAAAAAAAAACTTTAATAAGCATATGTGAAGTTTGTTTTCATGAAAAAAATGAAAATGAACACGGAGATTAATTGCTTTATCTGATTTGATGAAGGAAAAAAAGCGTGAAAACATTGTTGATTATGCAAGATGGATGAAATGAAGTGACCGTTAGTTTGTTGTTTGCCTAAGCTTATAACCGTATCAAATTCATTTACACATGAAAAGAAATACAGAAATATATGCAACAGCATATTTAATTATTATAATGATAAAAACAGAATATCTGTCAGAAGTTAATATAAAATCTCTAACGGAATATCTGTCAGAAGTTAACATAGTGTCAAACATTATTGTTTGCCGGACTGGTATGCCCCAAAAAAATATTAGAGTGCTTATTTAAAGAAGAAAAAGTTTTACTGTACTTCAATTATCAAAATTGCATTCAAACTCAAATCATTGGTTATATGGTTGTTTCTGAAACTATTTAAATGAATTTCAGTCTCAAATAAATTTACTTGGATTTCACAAACTAACTTTAGGGATACTGTTAATATTATCTTTTTCTCTATATCTTTAGGTTCTTTAGAAAATTATCTTTTTTTCGTCAATAGTAGTTTGACTTGCCTTCTTCTTTTTTCTTTTAGATAATTTCGTTCTACCTTTCATTGAAAGAAGTGTAAATATTAAATTATTTGAGTGCCAAATTTGTTTAGAAGTAAGTCACAAGGGTGTGTGGAAACAATGTCCATAGCTTCGTATACACTTGAAGGACGGTAAACAAGAAATTCAGTGCCATACTATAAAAGCACGAGAAATAGGTACTTTTGAGGTTAGATCCCAAAGTTTTTTCACTACTCAAAAGTCAAAAGTTATGAGCTTCTTTAAGAGCAACTGTAAATGTTGTCATCAGAAACAAAGGCAGCTGGAATTGGGACATTCCCATGGAATAAAAGAGGTTTGATTGTTGGTGTTTTGAGCTGGATCAATTAACAACAACAATAACATACCCTGTCAGTGGCGGAGCCACGTTCAACCAAGGGGTCGACACCCCTTCGCCAAAAAATTACACTATATTAATAGATAACTTTCTTTGTTTTATGTATTATATCTAATTTTTCTATTTTGATAACCCTTTATGAAAATTCTGGCTTCGCCACTGTACCCAGTATAATCCCACAAATGGGGTCTGAGAAGGATAGTATATACAATGACCTAACCCCTACCTGAAGAGATAGAGACACTGTTTCTGATAGACCATCGGCTCAAGAAAAGTGGAAAGGAAGAGAAAGGAAGAATAAGAAGAAGAAAGAGGGGGAAGAAACAAAGAAGAGGTAGAAAAAACACAATAAGGAAAAAGGGGAGAAAAATAGCATCAAATAGTAACAATCAGGAAGCTACAATTTCCAGTAGCAATTTTCAAAAACAATGGACGTGGTTGCTAAGTACCAGATATAATAATAAACTAGAAGAAAATATCTTTCAACCAACAACAAGAATATTACTAGTACTACTAGTAAACCTAGGAGAAACTCACAACTACCTGTCAACCCACCACCTTAATCCTCGACCTCCACACCTTTCTATCGGTAGTCATGTCCTCAATTAGGTGAAGCACCGACATGTCCTGTCTAATCACCTCTTCCCAATACTTCTCTGGCCTACCCATGTCCTTCCTCAAGCCCGCCATGGTTAACCTCTCACACCTCCTGACAAGGGCATCTATATCTCTCCTCCTCACATGCCCAAACCATCGTAGGTTTGATTCCCGCAACTTGTCTTCCACGGATGCTACTCCCACATTGTCCTTAATAGTTTCATTCCTAATCTTGTCTTTTCTGGTATGTCCACACATCCATCTCAACACCCTCATTTCAGTCACGCTCATCTTCTGGACATGGGACTTCTTGATAGGCCAACACTCAGCTCCATATAACATAGCCGGGACGATGTGAACATATGTCTCGATATATCAGCCTAATAATGGAGATTGAGAAAGTGAAGGTCGACTGCCGTTGGGGGGAGGCAGTGCAAGTAGAGATTCCTTCACGCGAAGAAGACATAACCAAACACAAAACTGGTTTCCTTAGTGTATACACATATCCTTTCATCTTAGGCCCGGTAGAAGCCTCTTTGCCATCGATAGACCCAGTGATCCTTGATTTATGTAGACAATATCGGGGGGTGACGCTGGGACAAATCTATCCATCATTCTGGCGCATCGTTTATCTGATTAGGTATCTCTCAAACATGGTCGAGGGGATGCCTTTTACCCTTGATCATCTCATTAGACTGTATAGCTCCCAACTTTATCGAGGTGGTCTGATTAAGTTAAAACGTCGATCCCCTAAGCCCTTGTTTGCTAGCTTTGACAAGGACAAGGACCGAGGGTGGATAAGCCGCTTTGTCCGAGTCAGGACCTCAGATCTGATCCTTGCTGAGAAAATGTCATTCCCCGAGGAATGGAATATAAAACGTAAGTAAACATATTTCGCTAATCGAACATCTTTTCTCGCCTTCAAATTAACTCCCTTTGATGATGCAGCTGTCGAGTGGTACCCCAGTGATGTCAATAGTCTCCCAGGCTAGGTCCGACAACTTGATTCGGTCTGCCCATGTGTGAAGCGCGTGTGGCGCGATTTGGCTAAGACCTGTTGGAAGGCCAAAAACCATGGTGAACTTTTATTTTTGCCATACTCGAGCTTCGTTAGAAAAGATATTTTTTTATAGAATTATTACCCTTTATGCTTATGCATGCCTTGGAGAGGCCGTTTTGATGAGGGAACCCCCGTCTGGGGAAGCGGATATCCTGAAGCCTGCCAAAGAGAAAAAGAGAAAAAAGAAAACACCAGCCGAGTCCTCGAAGCCGAAGAAGGCTAAAGTTCAATAGCTTAAGGTTGATTCAGCGGCCTTAACTTCGGAAGTAGCAGAGAGCCCCCAAGCTAGGGGCGAAGAGAAAGATGACTCCCCACTAGTGCCCGGGGAAGGAGGAAGCATGATAGCTTCGGATCTTGCTGAGCCGATGGCTGTTGAGCCGACGACAAATAAACCAGAAGTTGCAGATGTTGTCTAACCTCAGGCCGAGGAGGCTCTCGAGGGTGGGTCAGATGATGTCCCTAAGCCGTTCGACGGCCAAAACATTTCTCGAGCCGAGGGGTGTTTGGTAGATGATTTAGGGGAGCCCAGTTCTGAAGTTCCCCGGAGGAAAGAAAAATCCCCAATCAACCTAGCCGGAGTTATTGACGTGGGTGATTCTCCGCCGGGTCCGACATTTCCTCCGATGGAGATACGAGATACCAATAATAGAGAGACTTTCAATGCGGGGGCATCCCTCGAGGAGAACGACTTGTTTGAAGGACACTTCACTGGGGTCGGAGAAAGCCCTAAGCTTAACGCCTCGCTCATTTTCGAGGAAGCTGAGAGGCTCAGCAAACAGGTAATCATTCGTCGACTATGCTCTGAGCTCTGATCCTCATCTTCCTAATTTTATTCTTTTATGCTTTCAGGTTATAGTGCTTTACAATCAGGCCTTTGCTATGTCCCAAGCTAAGCTGGCCCACTATGAGAAAGAGTGTAGGAGGCTCTCATCAAAGGCTGACGAGTTCAGAGTTCTTTCTACCAAGAGGGAGGAAGAACTTTGTGACCTTCGGGCTCGTTTGGAGATGATGTCTCGAGAGCGGACCGGTCTTGCCGAGCAGGTAATACGGTCTTTGCATGCCTTTATTTTCATGCTTATCCGACTTTAGCGTTTAATACCTTTGGGTTGATTTTTGTAGCTTGAGAAGAAAGATGCCCTGATGAAAGAGAGGCTTAGAGCCAAGGATACTGAGGTTCTCAGACTCAAGTAGTGTGTATACGAGATAGCCTCTGAGAGAGATACCCTCCAGGGAAAGTTGACCTTGGTTGAGCATCACCTTCAGGATACAAGGGCGGATAGTAGCAAGTATAAGGGTCTCCATGCTGACTCGGTTGTCGCGCTATCCGCAGCCAAGTCCGAAGCTGATGCGCTCATATCCTCATACTGAGACGATGTTTCTGCTACCAATGCTTGAGCTAAGAAGATATCTGAAAAG